ACGGTTGTTGTAACATTGTGGTATAAGTGCAAACAAGGTGGGTATGGGGCTTATAGAAATTAAATTCCAAATTCGGAATAATCGTGCCAGAAAAAAAAACTCGAGCAGACTTCTGCGATTGCTTCCAACAGCGGGTGCGCAGTAGCCCCTGAATAATGATATGGTTCGTTTCGGTAATTGAATTGTCGCCACCACCTATATACCTGTTCGGCAACCGGGAGAGACGGGTTACAGTAGTATACAGGGTGGTCCACCGAGTTTTCCCGTTTTTCCGTCTTACTAAAACAGTAAAACATGGCGGATCGCCCTCTATATAGTATGCTCCTGTGCCATCGCCGCTCCTTCTTTCCAATCAGAGTATATAACCACCACCGCGACTGTACAGGCGAAAACCCGTCGGGGCGGGCGACGTACGTGATCGACATACCCGATGACGGGACTCTCAGCCCTCTAGGGATAGGTTGGTCTCGTTACGAAGCCTGTGGACGGCGGTGTCGGACAAACGGGTGGAGGGTACGCGTTTATTTCGCAAAACGAGCACGTTTAACAAATCGAACTAACCCTCCATCACACAAGTCTACCCCCAGCTCGGCCATCCCCGTCCACTCAAACCGTCACCTTTGCAGCCATCCGTCGCAAGTGAACGCGAGTCTCTCCTGCTATACACATCATTATTATATTTTTATAACTATTATTATGGTTATTATTATTATACCTATGCTGTGATAGTACGGTTGTTAGGTGTTATGCATTCATATCATAATTGAATAATATATTCATCGCAGACGAGGTGACTCGACGATTTGAAAACGAAAAAAAAAATTATATACAGAGTGAGCCGTGGTGTTTTCGTCGACGGCTAATCTGAGAGAACTCCACGGTTTCCGTCTTATATATTATGCATTTGTACCTAATATAAACGTGTTTATATCTTAACGGAGAAACTAAGAGTATCTATCAGTCAATATTTTATGTTTTTAAAACTATATACGAGTATTATTTTATTATAAGTAAACATTTAAATTTTTATTTTACTTTTATGAATCTTACTAATTATATTTTAGTTTCTTTAATTATAGATTTTGGATGAAACGAAAAACGTACCTATTAGTTTTGTATAGTTTTTCAATAGTTTCTCAAAGCAAGAGAAAAAGGCTACCACAGACAACCGTAGAAAATATTTGGAAATATTATTGCGACAAGCTTCGATCTCACAATAGTTATAAGTTATAACTTATGAATATGAAAATGTATCTTTCTTAAACGAAAAATATCACAATAGTACACTAATATTATGAGTCGAGGTGAGTGGAGCGAAACGAGTGCCCAACATGATGTTATACTGTATCCTGTCTGGTTTTTTATTTTTATACTGTGGAGCTATAATATTTAAACAATTTTGAAGCAAAAGACCTACTAAATATTTAACTGGCAGTTTTTAATACAACGTTGTCAAATTCACGTTTGCACAACCATAATACTGCATTTTGCTTCGGTTGCACATATATATGATATAAAAACATCGCAAGGTCAATCACTCGGCCAATTTCAAACCAAAAACACTCGGTTATTTTTTTTTTTTTTGTTTATTTATAACCAAGTTGAATTGTACATATATCTTCGTCAAAATTATGAGTTCAATATTATAGTTAATCAGCCTAAACTGCAACCAATAGAAAAAAAGTGTAATGCCATTAATAATATCTTACATTGTATAATTAAAAAAAATTAAGCATCCTCAATATTCATTCTTAAAGAGTTGCGTGCTCAATCTTCATTTCCAAATTATTTTTTGTGCCTATGAGATTTGTTTAATGAGTTTATAATGATATTGTTAGTTGTGCAGTACAATTCCATGGATTATTTCATATTATACTTCTCACATTTAAAGTTTTATAAATAATTGAATATTTGATCAATATTCTAGATTTGAGTGATACAATTTCAGAAAATATAATTATTTTTGGATCCAAAATATTAAAATTGAATGTTATTACAAATTTAATTTTTATTCTGAAATATTCTAAGAAAATATGTAATCCATATAAAATAAAAAAAGATGTAAAAACTCGATTGCGTAAATTAACGTCTCACGTTAGACAGATGAAAATTTAAGGTCGTTTCATAAAATTCGAATTCACACACACTCGCGCGTGTGAGTACCTAATAATAATAGGCACATGGACGTGAGCACAATTATTAAGCGCCCAGGCAGTATATCATGAAAAGAGTTTTTGACGGATTCTCGAGACCGACACGATTGCGATGACGATGATAATAATAATAATAGAAGTGACAGCATTAAGTGGAAAATGAAATAGAGCACTCGGATAGGTCGTGTCTGAAGCGTTAGACCGACGCGAATAAAAATATAATATTCAGTAATATTATTGCAATATCACACTGAAATTCTCGACACACAACACTGCAGTGGATTTAAAACCGAAGAATCTCTTTTTCTACTTCGTCGTCCCCATGTAAACAGTGAAATAAAGTCCGCTGAGTTTACAGCACAACGCACTAGGTATAATAATAATAAATATTATTTATTCAAATTTATAACGAATGTGTATAATAATTATAACAAAAGCCGAATGCGTGTGTTAATAATTGGTTTGACACGGACAATATATTCAAACACGATTTTTTTTCCACAAAATATGAATAATAATAACTGCAATAATTGATGACAAAAAGTCCAGAGGTAATCCATTAAACCAATGTTAATATAAGCTATATGTATAAACATTAATAACCTTCGCATTAGAAAATTTAATTTAAAATCAAAATCCGTTTACCAGTTAATTTGCTCATAATATCTGAATACGGACAAATATTTATGTTATGCATTACATTAAAACACGATTGCTGTTTGAATTTCATATTTTAAACTCTAATCGGTAGATACTGTAATATTATGTAGGTACCTACCTGCAACCTGCCTATTAAACACGTATTTTACACCGTATTTTGTTTAGGTAGGTATGCCACGCAAATGTTGACCTCTATAACGGCCAATTTAAAAAACCCAAACACGGACTTTCATGTTTCACGTAAATAATTATAGTCGTTGGATTTTGGAAATCATTACAATGTGATGTGTAATGTGTACCTATAATACATAACAAAGAAAGGTTAACCATTTAGCCAGAAACAAGAGCAAGTTTTCGATCTGTATTATATGGATCATATTATTATAATGTTACGATATTAATACTTTTTTTTTCTTAAATGAGGTAGATATATAGCCATCTCTTGATTTTAAATATTTTTCGAGTTTCAACGCCTAACACAATTGTGTAAATCGAAGTAGGTGTGGATATTTCGAAATCCGATCGATATATACTATTAAGAGCATGTTTTCCTAACAGTCATTTTTGGGGGCACTTATAAGCCACATAAACAAGGCGCGTTGAACGATAATTTGAAGCAATTATAAACTACTTTTTAATAAGAATCGTTTTAGCACCGATTTTTTAATACCTACGTTATAACCACTTGTAATTATCGTCTTTACGAAACCCTATTATTATTATATTATTACTATTACTACTATTATTATTTACTCCTCTCTAACTCTAATACCACTTTTAATTAAACGACATTTTATTATTGCATTTGATTTCAATGATATGCGTGAAATCACGTACATGGAAACCGTTGTAATTATTTCCTACAATTGCTATTATAAATTACTGTACGCTATATTTGAGTACAATCATAGTACATGTGTGGTCTTTTCCGAAATCGATATTTACGTTTATAATAGTGTTACACCCTATTCAATTCACCTGAAATTCTGGACAAGAGTTATCCACTACCTATATTATTGTTGCCTGAGGGCGATGTTAATACTGAAATAATATATGCGTCACGTAACACTTTTAATTAAAATGTTATATTATATTATATTATGTTATATTATCATTCTCTAAGTTTAATGAAATATCATACATTTACCGAGGGAAAAATTATGATTTAAGGGCCAAAATGAAAGTTCTTGATCGTGCTGGTAGGACATCCCGTAAGGTCTATATCAGGTGAATTTGATCCCGGATAAGTCATGTTTGAACTATCCGATACACGTTTCAGTGACAGGAAGAATTGACCCGATGTATTGACTTGCACCCTTGATTCCATTCTTAATAAGTCATGTATTTTACGCTTTTCACTCGAGTTAAAATATTCCGATCTGTTTTCATTCACTATACCTATAGTATATATATACCTATTATATGTACATTGTTTACACGCTGTGTCCAATCATAATATACTTTATTAAACTTGTAATTGAAAAAAAAATTATTATTTAAAAAAAAAAGAATTCACGAGTTATTTATACGGTTTTCTGAAGAGTGTTCGAGTTATATAATTTACAATCACTCTAACAGCTTACCATCTTTACTACAATCGTCTATTAAGTTTAAGAGTAAAAGTTAACGCATTTATACAGTTTTGTATGGGTCGTTTCTTCATTTTCTAAAACGGTCTTATTTGTTAAATACATTTGTTGAACATTCACATTTCAGTCAGTACTGTCAAATTTTCGGTGATTAAGCCTCTATATTATAAATAGTCAATTATATAATATTATTATCTTATACTAAAACTTGTATTACAGTTTGACGTGCATCTAGTTATACATTTTGCTTAGTTCTAACCAAAATGTATAAGTATTTATTGTTTAAGGTATATTTAAAACAATGAATTTGTAAATTGTATTTAAATATACCTACTCTTTAATATTTCAAGAAAATTAATCAATTTGTATTTTTGTTAATCAACACCCAAGAAAACAGTTATTATTTTCCGTTACATGTAAAATGTTTATAAACTTGATGAAAGTAAAATAACCGAACAAGATATAAATAATAATTCAAACTGTAGTATTGAGATTACTGCCAAAAATTATAATATATATATATCAATCTGAGAGTGAGAGAAGTTTTCAAAATGTTTACTGAAACTCTTAAAAACTGCAATATACACGCGCATAATCCATGATAATCCAGCAACAAGCACACACAGCGCACGGTGAAACTTCTCAACATTCGTCGCAAATATATATTATGTATTTGCCCTTTGGGTTGTGTATGGAGGAAACTATCCTTCGCGTGCCACACAGAGAGAGAGACCTGTTTCTTATCAGAGAAGGTCCTTTAATCCTATTCTTGCCGGGTCCTTATAATCAGATCGTTTCCTGGGGAGAAGTTTCAATTCCCGGCACTACGCTCATCCGCTATTTCCCCAAGCCTATTCCTACCGGTGTCAATTTACCGTCTACGCTTCATTTCTTCCAATTTGTATACCCCACCGACCACTCACTCATTATAATGTCCCCTGTTTCTCACTCTTGTCATTCCTTCGTGGGCACTGCCGATTCCAGAACGTTCGTTTCCACCGGCTTTGAGCTCGACTGTACAAGAAAATCGATATTTTATAACTTTTGGATATAGCACAACAGTATAGTGGTTATTACATTTTTCAGAGCATATCTGCATATCGATGTGTTTTTATTAACTACAATTGATTTAATTACTATATAATATGATAACTTACAATGGTTAAAATATACTTATATGTATTTTATATTTTTATACCTTGTCTGGCCAATGGCCATAGGTCATATTATTGTACCTATACCATAATAATCAATACCTATAATAAAACGAAAAACTTCAAGTCGTCAAAGACTAATTCAATTTTTTTAACATTTTACATACCTAATAATCGTTTCATCAATAACTCAAATTATAATAAATTTATTTCAATGAATACATTATAAATACATGAGTAAAGAGAAAAAATTATTTGAATTTACACCAAGTAAACTCAATTATTTAACCTTTGAGACGACCTAATCCGCGGTTACCAGACAGCTACACAACAATATTTAAGCTACCTGAATGCAATACAATTTTCTTCAGAGTTGTCGGTATACATAAATAATATATTGCAAACCTAGACAATCGTATATTATATACATATACATATATACACATTTATACATGCATATACAATATACATAGTACATACATACGTCAGACATGCATACATACATAATAAATATATACATACTATATATGTCTGTATACATAATATTTATGTTCACAAACTGCCAATAATATTTTATTGGCACCGACCGTACTACACACACCTGTGGCAGCAAATTGATTTTCTGCATGCGTTAACTTCTCCTCCATTGTCAGCGCTATCAATTGTCACCCTATTTCATATAATATTATATAATCATAAATATACCGATATTATATTAAAACCATCGTATCGTATCGTGTATTAAATTACACGTGAAGTACACGTACTATAATACTGACCTTGCACGGTATGGTATATTTCACCTGTTCACAGGCATATACATTATAATATATTATTTATGTATAATAGTTTTTAATTGGCGCCATGGGATTTATATCACCTGACGTGCGTACTCGCTTTATGTGTGTGTGTGTGTGTTTGTGTGTGTACGTATCCATATAGGTCGTGCCCTAGAACGTCTGTCTGTATTAAAGATAAACATATGTAGGTATCCTGCGTATATTTTAACACGATGGGGTATTCAGTAATTCGACTACAATATGTGTTTTGTTTCGATATTTTGCACGTTAAATGTAATATCTGCTGCTTTTCAAAAATAATGAAATAATAAGTTACTGCCAACATCGATGTATAGATATTGATATATATGTAGGAGCTACGGTTGTACTAATTATTGTGATATCGACGTATGCAAATTGATTTATATTGTAGAATGAGACGATCCGGGTCTGCCCTATTACATCCGAATATAACCCATAGAATTTTTTTTCCAATCACACGGCAAGTTTGTATGTTCAATAGGGTTACGACGTCGATGACGACGACAACATGTAATTTATTTTTGGCCTTCGACTGTAAATAATAATTATCGTCAATAATACAATATCACCACTGGGCCATTCTTCAATATTATTCGTGCACATATAATTTTTAATAAAATGAAAAATAATTAAAAAGTCACTTGGTATAATATTACGAATACCTGTATTTTAATTTTTAACCGTTTAATAGAAATATGTAGCTCAACAACAATTTCAGACATAAAAAATATCACCGTTACAAATACCTACTACAATGATTTAGATGGATACCTATAGCTCGGTCCACATCTAATCTAGGTAATTATGCATTTTTACCCGTCAAACAGCTAGAAAAAAAATGTAATTATTATTGCCAATTTCATGCCTGGTAAAATGTTTTTAATTAATACCATACAAATTGCATAATACATATCAGTCGCAAAAATCAATAAGAATAATATTTTGATAAAATTAAAATACAACATTAGGTAATATTATAATAATTACTAGTTTTAATTAATTGTAACTATGAATATTAATTATTGATGCACGCAGGTCTCGTTGTTCGTAGTATACCGTTGTATTTTCTAATATAATATATATCGTATACCTAGTAAAAAATAATTTATTTTTTAACTGCTATTATCGATAGATTTTTATGAATGTATCTAATTTTAAGTACCTTTAAACATTGCTTATTAAAATTAGTAAATATATTTACTAATCGCATTATTACGAAACACAATGTTTGAGATTTAAACAAAGAAAATATTGTATTAGATATGAAATTGCTCAAACACAAGTTCCCGAGGCGTTCACACATCACACCTAGCATCGTAGTGTTGGTAATTCTAGTGTGTAGAGGAAAAATATATAACCTATAATTACGGTGTCATTTAATTAACGCGACCTCCTTGTTTATTAATGTATCCAACACAAAAGAGGCACGTCAGTCTGTTGATTCAATTTGCGTGCCTGAACATAATATACCGTATGAATATTACTATTTTTACCCTTTTTTTGCTCGACATTTTTTTCATTTGAATATTTTTAAAGAATTCACGGTTTGTGGAGATTAACACAATATTATGTATTTTAGTCAACAAAAATATTATTCTCGTTAGCATAATAATGAATATGATACTATATTAGTACCGTAATTATATCTAGGCGTCAAGTTAAATTATTGGAGAAAACAATAACTCAAATTAAAAGTTTTTATATAATATCTAATAATAATTAAATACGTCGTTATTCTGTCACTAACCATAAAATTCCTTACTATAATCACAAAGCGCAACGCACATTTTAAACTAAAAAAAATTGTATTGTTAAATTATTGAATGGGGAAAATTACAATAATAAGGAGCGTTTTGTTGTTAATTTTATTTTTGTGCTTAAGATGTACTGTAGGTATAATATTATAGAAGTTTTGATATGGTTTCCTCTACAATGAATTATATTATTAGTTATACTTAAAACATTTATACAATAATATACTATTGTATCTATGTGGTATAAAATATTTAAAATGCATATAAAAAGATGAAGCAATTTATCAATTTAACTGTTTAATTATATATATTTATATATGCCTTCATTTAATTGTAATAACCTTATTTATATACTAATTATTAGATTAAGATGTCAAATTTTTATTTTTATTCAGTCAAGACTTGCATAAAAGAACTAATTACGCAAATCGCACTAATAATAAGTACAGAGCATTTCATAATAAGACAATATTGAAGTTGTAAATTGAAAGGAATAAATACTTAGTTTGGAAGGTTACCTATAACATATAACTGGCACACTAAATTAATATCCTTTAGTGGATAATAATTAACATTGTTATTTTGACTTATGTTTGGCCAAATGTGCGACGAGTATATAAAAACAACGCGAACAAAAATTTTTTAAACAAACAATAGTGGGGAAAAATATCGCTTGCGTCAGGTTCAGTTGAATCAGGTGGTGTTCTTACAATTTTTTACAGTCGGCTAAATTGAATTTAATGTTAGCGTGTTGAAGGTACATTGACGTGAGTAGAAAAAACGATGGATTTGCGTAAATACGAGAAAATGAGATTATAAAAACTTGACGTAAAAATTATATTAATTGGATTGTCAGTGATTTGTGACGTATTTTATTTTAATCACCTTTACATAAATTTAAACTTATTATCAAATCATTTTATGAAAACTATTATTTTGTAGATGAAAATTTGAACCATTTTTTTCTTTTTTTATCAAAATTTAAATCGTTATATTATAACCTGATGTTTAATGTATTGCTATAGATAGTATACTTATAGATATTAGGCACTGTATCAAAAATAACAAATGTTCCTTCATTCCATACAAACTTTTTATAAAAATTATTTTAACTTTGTACAGAATAGTATATGTAGTAAAAACGTATTACCTACGTATATATATAATTACAAAAGTAGATATAATAAACGACAAACATTAATTAAATGATTGATCTTTATATGATTTAAATAGTGTTCAATCAAATTATGATTGATTATTTTAGTATTTGTATAGACTATATAAGTTGTATAGCAAATGATTATTATTGTTGAATATTTCCTGTACATCTCAACGATAAGTGATAACACTGCAAATGTTAAAATGTATATACAATAAGACGAGAAAATAAATAAAAGTAATACCGATGTTTTCGAACTCCTATAGGGATGAGAATTTATGGACCGATTTTTGTCCAAAATCATATTGCCTATTGTGTGCCGATGAATAAGATCAACAATAGACGATGGTCTGAAACCACCTACAAGGGGTTCTAAAACTTTTACACACAAAAATGTATTTAACTCGTGTTGATTGCGAATGATCTGATACAACACCTTAGGTGGTCCACTTGTAGAACATTAATAATAATTTTATATAGTCGTATTTTAATTTTAATAACTGTAATGAACATATAAGTCATAAACCCTATAACCAATACATTAAATCGATAAAAATTAATTCTAACGATTCTATCGAAATATACATATAGGTACCTTTACCCATATAAATGTTTTATGTTGAAAATATATTATAACAAGATAAAATATAAAATTGCATGCATCGTTAACATTGATAATTTTATTAACAAATTTATAATTAAAATTAATTAATATAAGTACGTAAATATATTCAAAGTACATTTGATAATAAACATTTTATATGTTTTATTTACGACAAGAATTGGATCTCACATTACTGCCTTGATATTTTAACTTACTCAATTTTAAATTTTGCTTCAACTTCCATAGATCAATATTATAGTCAACAGCTAAATTATTTTTTTATTGTTTATTATTATTACATTTTCTAATATTTGCACATTAGAAACGTATATTGTATTTAAATAGTTCCGCATTTATGTATATATATGACCATAGAAATAACTGTAATCAGCTTAATTCTCAAGGTTCTTTTCTGTGTGATTACTACAATATATAATTTTTAACTATTATTGAATATTTATCATACAAATTTACATCATAAAGTATTTGTAAATATATATAATGATATGATAAAAATACAATTTTATTTTTCAAGCTTTTTCAAATTTGAGGAGAATTATAA